CTTTGTATATATATATATATATATACTGTATATATATGCTACACAAACAGAACGCGGGGGTGCCGATGCTGGACTGTCTAAAACAGTAGTTGGCGACAGATAAAAATTTAACATAATACAAACGCCACACCCATTGCAACGCGCTCATCGCACAGCACAGTAGAAGTACAGGTGAATACCTGTCCATGAGTGCCAACTGTAGTATCCGCCTGGACTTCGGCCGTGGGGATTCACTCCATAGTCCGTATCATCGCTATCACTTGCGCTGCTAGAGGAGTGTGTACTGCCTGTGGTTGGCTGATCCGTATGCCCTGAGCTGCGCGAGAACGGCGGCTTCGACGATGCTTCCGATGGTTCTGTAGATCGGTCACCATGGCAACTCAAAGTGTCGCAGGGTTTATGATTGCATGTGCATGTATGTAATGATTTCTCCGCAGGGGCTCGGGAGGCGATAGAGTCCAGGTTTGTGCCATGCATGCTGGGAATAGTACACGAGGGAGTATGTGGCCGAGGTTGTACATCTACGCCATCACTATTAGGCTGCGCATGAGCCTCATGGCTCGTGTTCTTGCATGGCAACCGCTCCTTCTCCTCATGCACTCTCGACGCAATGGTATCTGAGTGTCGGTGTGTGACATTTGAGTCCTTGCACAGGTGCTTCTCCACTATGAGAGCGCGTGCAGCAGCGTTCGACCCCTCTAGCGCATAGGCTTTCCTGGCGATTCGTTTGGACAGGGCTTGTACGGCTGTAGGTGTATTGCTATGCCGGAGAGCACTGTTGGTGGGTGAACCAGCAACCACCCCTGACGCTTGCAGAGGCCGTCCGCATGTAGGAGTTCCCCCCACTTTACTGTACAGCTTTCGGAGATGCTTCTGCGCTGAGCTTTCCATACTTACAAGATAAAATGCGGACAATACGAAACCGAGTACCTACAGATAATATATATATATATATATATATATATATATATATATATATATATATATATATATATATATATATATATATATATATATATATATATATATATATATATATATATATATATATATATATATATATATATAT